TAAAAAATTAGAGTTTTTTGTAGTTGAAAACTAGGCCAAAAACAGCATAAAAATATGGCAAAACAAGTAGTCAAAACAAAGCCTATAAGCTAAGTCTTATACTTCTTGAAGCACAACACAAAACAGCCACACTTTTAGGCTCAAACCTTCTTCCAAAAGCTCAAACTAGGCTTCAAGGGACCTCAGCTCCAAGGTGGTCAAATTTGGTTAGGGGTTAGTGTGCAAAGGTGTAGAGAAAACCAATTACAAAGCACAAAACAAGAAGAGAGAGAGAGAGAGAATTCTAGAGAGAGAGAGAAAATTTTGATCCAAAATGTCTAACCCCTCCAAATGGAGGATAACACCCCTGTAGACACCCCATTTTTGACCGTCCTCAAGACTTGGACGTCACCATTGGAACACTTGGTGATTACCCTTGTTTGTGTTCGTCTTGACAAAACAAAATAGGTTTGTTCGTCTTGAGTTCCCGGAGGTCTTCAAGGACTTCGGGCGCTCAAAACAAACATAACCAAGCACAATCATCGAGTGCACAAACGACAATGTCCAAGTCTTAAGGTCAGTCAAAAATGGGGTGTCTACAGTTGCCCCTCTTTGATAGAACTCGGAAGTCATGAAATAACGGGAGTGAATGTCAAAGCCCATAGACGACCCATTTTTGACAAGGCCAAAGACTCAAACAAACAACCAAACAAAACAAAGAACGGTTGCGCCCGCAGGCTGCCTATGTATCCCTTTGCAAGGAATCAAACCAGCGTAGTTTTGGGGCAAGATGCAAATGATATGCACGATGCAACAACATAACCTATAATCATGCAATGAGAATGTAACGAAACAACTGGATACAAGCGTTATGCAAAGAAACGCTACAGCAAACTCAAACATGAATAGAAGTAAGTAAACACGCCACACGTGAAAAGCACAAGCCAAACTACATTTCATACAGAAAGGATGTAAGAAAATTATGCAACCTTAACTATGCATCACACAGGAAAGACAAAGAAAAACATAAACGTCGGGTGCACCCGAGGTACCAAACAAGATTCCAACGTGTTGCACGCGGATGGAGAAAGAAGGGATGGTGAACACGGAGACACACCCGAATGTTCCAAACTGAAGCATCCTAACGTATCGCACACGAGAGGAGAAAAGATGGTGAGAACATTGGAACGTATCCAAATGTCTCCAACTGAAAGCGTCCTAATGCGTCGCACGCGAGAGGAGAGAGAATAACGAGAACACCGGGACGCGTCCGCGCGTCTCTAAACATAGCGTCCTAACGGGTTGCACGCGAGAGGAGAAAGAGCAACGAGAACACTGGGACGCGCCCGCGTGTCTCTAAAAAAAGTGTCCTAACGCATCGCACGCGAGAGGAGAAAGAGCAACGATAACATCGGGACGCACCCACGTGTCTCTAAACAAAGCATCCTAACGCGTCGCACGCTAGAGGAGAAAGAGCAACGAGAACACTAGGACGCGCCCGCGTGTCTCTAAACAAAGAGAACGGTGTAAACACCGTGGTAAACCCGAATGCTTTTAACCAAAACAAGGTGTTAAAGGGGGAGGAATGATCTTACCTGGAATCCCTCTGAATGAATCGTACATACAATATCATCTGGTTGCACCAACTTTGAATGAATCGTACATACAATATCGTGGCTGCATAAGAAAGAAACTTAACAGGTATAATACAATAAGAATGCATGTTCTATGCAAGACGAATAACCGTGACACAATGTTAGAGGCATGTTTTATGCACAACATGCAAGAAACAAAGCAGAAGCATATTCTACGCAATGAAAATTGGAGCATGTTCTATACAACACCAAAATGCATGTTCAATACAACAATAGAAAATGCATGGTCGATGCAACAGATACGAACATTTTTTATGTGAATGTAAGGGCATGTACAATGCAATACAACACAACATGCATATTCTATGCAAAATAACCACAATGCATATTCAATACAACATCAATAGCGTGCTCGATGCAAAACACCGAATAAAAAATCACACGTTCTATGCAATGATAAAAAAGCGTGCCTTAATAGAACCGATTCAGTTGCAACCTCCGATTTACCTCTAGGAGGAGTTACAATATATTTTAAAGGGATACACCTCGTTCATGCTGGCTGACGATGAGTCATGCATCGAAGACTTGGTTCGAAACTTCTGCAGAGACACTTTGAGCTAAAAAGTGAACTTTTCTTGCACTTTCTCGAGAGCCAAGGACACAAAACAGCATAAAAGCACACAGGGAGAACATCGGAAGCTTGTTAGCCACCCTGAAGAAGTGTGGGCCACCTGGGAATTTTGTCGGCCACTTGTGGCAATTCGGGCCATTTTGGTCTTTTTGTATGGAGATCTTTAAGTACACATCTCTAAACCACATTTGCTCACACCTACATTGCTGAAATTGTTTCCTTCTTCCCTAGACACTTTTTCCTCCTAGACCCGTGCTTTATACGCGTTTTCCAATGCCCCACGCGAAGTTGATTTGCTAAAACCTCTCAATTTCCTCCATCTTGAACCGATTAAAATTTGTTTTCGGCACCTTTTTCTCCATTTTTTCCACTTGAGGTTTGTTTTCCTTGAGTTTGTCTTGAGTTTGGTGGCTTTTCTCGGACTTTGACTTTTTGTCCCATTTTCTCTCTGCGAGAGTTGACTTTTGTTGACTTTTGGCATTTTCTACCTATTTTGCTCATTTTCGCCTACTTTCTCACCTTCCTTCCAGATGGCAGACGACATTCCTCATAACGGGGGTTCACCAGGGATGGAGGGTGGTCCCGAGCATATACCATTGCCACCCAGAGTCTGACCTTTCGACCCGGAGAGACACCACCCTAAGATGCATGTACTACCGCCCGACACAGTCAGTCATTTCAACGGATTTGCATGAGGTGCACCAGAAGATCTCTTGCTGTGAGAGCCAGAGTCTCACTTACCTCATGGTGCCTCTGAGGTATACACTATATTCTTACATTTTCTATGATGTACTTTACATTTCCTGTATAGCTCGCACTTTTGCACTGTATTTCATCTGCTCATTCTGAACACATTCACGTACTGTATTTCTTACACTGCCTTCCATCTGCTTACTCCAAACACTGTCATGCACTGTATTTCTTACACTGCCTTTTATCTGCTTACATTGATCACAGGTGGACTCTCGTTTTACCCGAGGCTATGGGGCCACATCTACGAGGGAGTGGTACATGGACCTCCTCGTCGGTGTCCGCCAGATCGTTGACGAGGTCGGGTTTGGCTTATTCTGTATGGGGTTGTCGCGCCTTATGGCAAGCAGGTCCCTACTAGGCGCGCTGGTAGAGAGATGGTGGGACACCACCAACTCTTTCCATTTCTCTACTGCAAGAGACATGACAATGACCCCGTACAATTTTGCTATGCTCACGAGCATCGAGGTAGGAGGCTGGCTGATCCCATATGATACTGACATGGGCGAGTGGGATGTCGCCTGGATTTATTTGTTGGGGGCATGCCCACCTATCTTTTGATCAGGGATGGTCCGATACAGCTGGTTCACTGACCAATTTAGAGGGATAGCTCCGGAGACTGTAGAGGAGATCGAGCAGTATGCCCGAGGCTTCTTGATATTCCTCTTTGGCACTACCTTATTCGCCGACAGGGCAAACACAGTCGGGCTATACCTTTTGAGCGCCTTGGTGGACTTGTCTTAGGTCCGGCATTATGACTGGGGCAGCGCTAGCCTCGCTACCCTGTACTGCTATATGAGCTCGACCGAGGACCCGAGAGACCCTTTCATTCTTCCGCCAGTATTTCGATACAGTGAGGGCAGCAGAGGTAACTCAAAACTTACAGTTCTTTCTACTTTCAGCTCCGATTCATATTGCATATCTAATGGCAACTAATCAATCTATGCACTTGTTGTCTGCAAATCACGTGGCAGCCTTGGGCGACGATGCCAGAGGGTGTCAGATTTGAGTTCGCCGACGCTTGGGGCACTTCTCGCTATCGGCTTGTGCTTGAGGGACCAGTAGGCCGAGCCTGGTTCCTAGGCGAGCGCTTTCTACACCAGACGTTGGGTTTGCCATTACAGACAGTTCCCATACCACCTTTGCCATCCATATGAGCCATAGAGAGTCTCTCCTCTCAAGAGGTCATTGACTTTATGCGAGGCATGGAGGCAGACTTTTTTCTTGAAGAGGGGGACTATACGACTTACATCCAGATGCACCTTATGCCTCCTTTTACGGGTATTCGTGCTCATACAGGGAGGGCAGTTGATGCCCCTTCGACGAGCAGGGCCCGAGCACCGTGGGGCAGGGCTAGAGGGATACCCCCTGCTAGTTAGAGTTTTGGATGACCAGAGCTTCCGACCGAGCTGACAAGCTGGCGGTACTCTAGAGAGCCTTGTCAGATTCCGATTGAGCCTCCGTTGCCTGGTCACCGATATGTCAGGACACCTGATTCACCTCTGGTATTATTATAGTTTTCGTTTTTTCCATTCTAGCTCAAATACTCAGGCATACATTCCTTCCGGACATTGATCATTCCAAATTGCATTTGCAGGCACCCGCAGGCTACGTCAAGGGATTGCTTGAGTTGCCGGTCTCATTCGAGGACATGATTTTGAGGAGGGAGGCGATATTCGGCTCCCATGACATTCAGGTAATTTTCAGTTCTCTTGCATTTCGGTCATCATATTTCTGCTGACATACTGAAACTGACATCTCAACTGAACATTTCTTCACACTGCACTAATACACTGCATGTATAGATCACATCTGGCACATTGCATTGACACACCATATTTGACTTCTGCATGTACTCATTCCACACACGATACTTGCATCGGACACACACACTATGGCTGACATATTCAAACTGCCTTTTCAGGTCACACCTTTACCGACAGGACCGGCGGTGACAGAAGCAGGACCATTAGTGCCCCTCCATCAGCAGGGAGAGAGAGAGACAGGCTCTAGCACGCGGCCGTATGGGACGTCGTGAGCCTATCATGCGTGATGATGATGAGACCAGTGAGACCGAGGAGGCTGCAGATCAGCATGACGAGTCATCCGAGAGCGGAGATGATGATGCTGACTCAAATTCCGCTAGTGGAGATGAGGTTGATCTGTTCATCTACTGATTGTTTCAATTTGCATTTGCAGCCCTCTATCGGATATGTCGAGGGATTACTCGAGGTGCTGGCCTCATTTGAGGGCATGATCTTGAGGAGGGAGACGATGCTTAGCTCCCACGACATTCAAGTAATGTTCAGCTTTCTTGCATTTCGGTTATCGCATTTCTGCTAATATACTAAAACTGACATCTCAACTAAGCATTTCCTCATATTGTACTAATACACTGCATGTATAGATCACATCTGGCACATTGCATTGACACACCATATTTGACTTCTGCATGTACTCATTCCACACACGATACTTGCATCGGACACACACACTATGGCTGACATATTCAAACTGCCTTTTCAGGTCACACCTTTACCGACAGGGCCGGCGGTGACAGAAGCAGGACCATTAGTGCCCCTCAATCAGCAGGGAGAGAGAGACAGGCTCTAGCACGCGGCCGCATGGGATGTCGTGAGCCTATCATGCGCGATGATGATGAGACTAGTGAGACCGAGGAGGCTGCAGATCAGCATGACGAGTCATCCGAGAGCGGAGATGATGACGCTGACTCAAATTCCACTAGTGGAGATGAGGTTGAGCTAGATTCTGATACAGAGGATGACGACGACTCCAGTTTCGGTTCTACATCGGGTTTAGACAGTGGTGCGAATGGAGATAGCTCTGTAGAGTCCACTCCGTCGAGAAAGAAGACGAAGAGGGCCTCTAGAGCTTGAGCTAGCCGGCACTGATTCATGTGTTTTGCTCTGTTTCTTTTTGCTAGTAGTGTTAGCACATTGTACAGCTTTAGACAGTTTTATTTTCTTTAAAAACTTGTACTCTTTGTAAAAAGAAACCATGATCGGAATGAAAACAACTTTTTGATGAAAACATGTTGCATTTTACATTTTGAGCATCGCATTGCACCAAACATCATAAAAACAAGAGTAGTGGGATTTTGAACTATGTGTAGTGTATTGGCATTCGCTTAATCAGGTAATGAACCGACCAACACATAACAAACAAAATAAAACAACTCGATGAACAATGCAACAACTCCATAAGCAATACAACAACTTGATAAACAAAGTGAAACAACTCGATAAACAAATTGAAACAACTTGAGAGCGACTCAACAAAACTACTAAAACAGGACAGCAGAATGCATCAAGAGCAGAACAAAACACAGGTTCTCAGCATTCTCAACACACAGGAAGACCAAAAGAATTCTACTGGGCACAAACAGGGGGTGTTGGCCACTTAGTGATGACTATTGGCCACCAAAAGTGGCCGGTCAGCTACAAAAGGTGGCCGGTCGGCCACCCACACTGGCCGGTCGGCCATCAGTGCAGGGGGCCTCCAGATTGCTTCCACCTGTCTTTCACTCAGTGCCTTATCTTCTACAAAAGTTTGGGACTTCATAGTTTCTTCATTCCATCTCTGTTTTTGCCATAAATGGAGCCATTCTTCGCCGAAAAACTCTCAACTTGGATTGCAACTTTAGATGGCTCGGAAAAAGTGAATTTTCAGAGTTTTAGGATAAATGCACTATTCCCGTTAAGTCATACCCCACTGTGTTTTCTGTTCCTTTACGCCGTGGATAGATGTTGGAACCCGGTTACACATGTTTTCAACTTTGGAGGACAAGAGATATGCCTCACAATCGAAGAATTCCAAGTTTTGATGGAATTTTAGCGTGGCAAGGAAATCCTACCACAGTCCCGTTTTGGCCACATCCAGGCTTTAGGAAGGATGTGTGGGCTCACTTTACATGATGCTCGATCCTTGGTTCACAATGGAGAGCTGGATATTCCCAGCTTGATTCATTAGTTTTTTGATGCCGGTGTCCGCGGCGACTGTATTCGGTAGAGTTGTCGGCAGCATGCTCTCTGTTTGTGTATATTGGCTCATTTTCTTCTTGCCCTAGGTTTCGGAGGATCTAGTATTGATCAAAGTAGCCCAAGGCTTGAAAAAGGGCAAGAGCTGCGTTGGCTTGACACTAGCCGAGACTTTGATAGGCTTGGATGCTTTCCATCGGCGAAAGACAACCAAGTTCGCAGGAAGTCCACTACTTTTGCAGGTAATGTTTCCCATCCCACCTCACATGTGTTTCTTACATCACTCGACACTCAGGCTCTGTTTTTCTTTCAAAACCCTTTCTCACTTTTCCTCTCCACATACACCTCTCTATTCTTTAATCTCTTTTATTTTTCATCCCTCTCTAGATATGGCTCATGGACAGGCTAAAGGTAATGGACTCTTGTCCTGCGTACTCAGCACGAGGCTATTTCTTTCGCCAACAGCTAGTTGATTTTCCAAATGAGGGGTAGTGGTGCCATTGGATGTGCAACAGGTCTACTGTTGACATTGCTTGGCGTTGCCCTGGTTTGATCTGCTTGAGATGAGCTACAGCATGTCTCGACAACCCGACATTCAGTTGATTGGCTTGACACACTATGTCTTCTATTTTCCATTCTGGTTCAAGCGTCAGTTCGGACACAACTAGACTTGCCCGGAAGAGGGGGTAGAGTACCCGGCTTTATTTCCAATCCGAGGTTCATAACTAGCTCGATATCCTACTGCATGGAGGACAAGAGAACTTCTGAATCCTGCTTCCAATTTCAGTTGTACCCTTTCTGGTGAATGCTTAGCTTGGCTTGAAGATGAGGCGCAAACCGGGTCTACTTTAGCATCTGAAGCTTCCACAAGCTCAGGGAGGGGACGCAGGAACACCTGATTTATCTATGCCGCAAGTTTATTACTTTGATCTAACTTTCAAGTTTTTCCTTTTGAATCTAATAAAAGCAACTTTGATTTGTATCGAGAGTTAAAGAACTTTGTATTGAAATCAATGAAATTGGAGTTGTGGGTACTGAAAATTTTCTTTTGGTCAAAAAATGGTCTAAGTTGTAAAAAGACTAATTTGAACAAAATCAATTTTTATTAAAACTTTTCAAAACCATTTTCGATAAGGATCACAACTGGATACACCCGGAATCTATCCTTAAGATGTACAACCCCGAATCTAAAAATGGAAAACTACCCCTTGTCTGAATAGCACTGCACAACACTGTAACCAGCTCTCACAGTGAAGATATCAACCGAACTCTTGAATACAAAAAAGACAAAGATAACCAGAACAATCTCATGGACACAGTTGATTTGGAAGTGTTTATGGTTGGACTTCAGAATGAAGTTGCCTACGTATCCCAAAGATAGGAATCAAGCCTTACGTAGTTCGGTTTAGGTTTACATGGGTATTAACACTCTCCTTTTGTACTCTAACTTTTGCTAAGGCTGCCCTTTCTTGGTTTTCAACCTTGCGAGCTCAATTTTTCTTATTTCTAATTTTTTTGTGCTCTAACTTTTGCCTAGGTCGCCCTTCTGGGTTTTCGGTCTAGCGAGCCTCTCAAGGATAGTGTTTCTTCAACTTGTCCATGTTGATTGGCTGGGAGAATTCCAGGCCATCTAGGTCCATAAGAATGACAGCTCCACCCGACCAAATTGATTTGACGATGTAAGGACCAGTCCAATTGGATCTGAACTTGCCCCTAGGGTCATGGATGGGAGCTCAGTTGTCTTTGAGAACCAAATCCCTTCCTTAAGATTCCGAGAATTAACTTTCCTGTTAAAAGCCCTGGCAATCCTACGTTGATAACCTTGGACATGGTATAGTGCTTTCAGCCTTCTCTCGTCGAACAACATTAGTTCCTTGAACTTGCTCTACTGCCAATCCGCTTCTGCTATTTGGCACTCAGCCATAACCCGCAGCGACGGAACCTCTACTTCAATCGATAGAACAACTTCCATTCCATAAACCAGAGAATACGCCTGACTTCCTCCGCGCCCCCCCCTTTCGGAGAGGGTGCGAATTGGTCGTCCTACAGTTCGGACTCCTGTCACAGTTCTGAATCTAATCTCACAAAGTGCAATGCGAGACTGATAAACACCAAAGAGCCCAAATCTGGCAATTGGTTTTGAAAAATCAATTTTGAGGCAAAAAACGCCAAACATGGACTGCTTTGCCAGATTACAGAGTCGTCACCTAAATATTTTATTTTGGAGAATTTAGGAAACCCTAACTCGTGCTAAAGGCCATGTGTCCGTCATCACCAAAGTTGTCTCAGCTCGGGAACTTGGGTACGAGAGGGGAAGGTCCTGAAAAGAGCACCCCCGCTTGCCCGATCAAAGGATCGGCCTCTACTAAGCATGATTTGTTGTTTTAAAAACACGTGTGTTCTTATTCCGGTTATTAGCTAACTTACTACGTGATGCGCGCAGCATACAAGTATAGACTCAATCACAAGAATTGGAACAAAACAATTCATGTTTGCTTTTGAAAATGGTTTGAAAGTGCTACTCCCAAGTAGGCTAAAGCATGGATTTGCCACCCTCAAGTGGGCTTTAAAACTTGATTTTGCCACTTCGCAAAGTGGGCTTAAAACTCACAATCATCGAGTTGTTCCAATTCAGGCAATAAAGCCTTCATCCACAGGCATTCATGCCGTTAATCACTTAAGCAAATAGCCTCATGGTAAGCATGCTATCATGGCAACACTCACACTCATGCAAGTATGCTAAAGCATAAACACTTACAGTGTACTCCGAGCCAAAACAGAAAGCTAGTTAAAAATCATGCATGATCCTAGCTATGTTAAGATGCCTAATGCAACTCATGCAAAAATGTAACTAAGTAGGCTCGGCTATCTACTATGGCATGTGAATGCAATACTTTGATACACGTATTCAAGTAGGTATTGAAATACGATGCAGTTTGAATGATGCGCTGAGCCCGGTGCATGCAATACAAATGAATGATTCCAAACATGTAAGTATAAGGTATGCTAATCAAAACATGATCCCTAATCTAACCACCGAAAGTGGGTAGATAAAAAAAAGAAAGACGTGGGGTTGGAAGACATGCACACACGCACGCACACTTATTACAACATTGTGCCCTCTCGAAAGAGGGTCCGAATAAATAAGCTAAGCTAGCTATGCTAAGCTAAGCTACTAATCTAATAATCTAACTAGACTAATTATTACACAACAAAATCGAATAACTAGTAAACTACTTACTAATTATTACAAGACTTTAACTAATTAACAAATTAATTAATTAAGTTACAAATTCAAGCTAACTAACAAGTAAAGCTTTAAACTATGCTGCCTCAGCTCTGTTCGAAGAAGTAGAAGATGCATGCTCGGTTTTCGTCTCGAAAAGCTCTCCGGTCTGCTTTTTAGAGGCTCTGTTTGCAAGGTGTCCTTAAGAAATCTCTGCTGAAACTTACCAAAACAATGTTAAGGAGTGCACCAGTGGCCTATTGGCCATGAATGGTGGCTGCCGGCCATCTGCCGGCCAAGAGAAGGCCTCTACCGGCCAACAATGAAGGGGTGCCGGCCATTAGTGTGGCACTGCCAGCCACTAGTGTGCTGTGACACCAAACTACAACAGAGCACAAAACAGAGAAAAAGTGAGGGTCTCCCAAGAACATGTGTGTACTGTACCACTCCTTATCATCTCAAAACATCAAAGGAGAGGTACCATTGGATCCAAAACCATCAATCAAGCATTTAATGCATAATGGCCAAGGATCCAACTTGCACAAATTCAATAAATGCAAGACAAACTAGACTCTAGGACCACTACCTTATCATGAAAGATCAAAGGCAATGGAGACAAAGGGAATTGGCTCATTTTCATCACTTTGAGTATGAAATGGACCAATTCACCTTG